GTTCGTTATTTATTTCATTTTTTACTTGAAATTACATGGAAAGCTCATTTGTGCACTAATCCGTCAATAAAGCTCGCCAGCAAACCTGTCCATTTCTAACAACAGCCATAATCCTGCTGCTTGTAGGCCATCAGGCCAGCGAGCCAGCAAATGAGCAACATCTTTGGAGAAAGTGCCGTGTGCGCCCGCCGTCTTTAGGCTTTCATGGGGACCTGGCGAAACCAATAAAAGTCGGAGTAAGCCACATCCTAATCGTATCCGTCATCCACTGATTCTAAAACACTTAAAATGAATGATAATAAGAATGTCAGACATGAACGTCACTGTGAAGCCATACTGGAACCATTGCTCAATTTGCGTTTCTCGACGTGATTTCGAATTGAGTTTGAAATTATTGCTTCAATAATTTGCTACAATTAGTGTTAAGCTGATTGGGCGGTAGTTAGGATAGTGATCTATCTCCCTCTCAGAAAATCAGTATCACATTCACTATCCTCCAAGTTCTTACTGCAACGATTATTATGGGTGAGATGACAAAGCAAGTTTTGGTTTATCTATATTTTATTAACATCGTTACTAGTCACTTCTATCCACAATCCATTTCTTCACTATCTCAGTGTAGTCGGTGCCTCGGGATCATGTTTAAATTTTCAGTGGAGAAAACTGCTGAAAATATCTGTTTAGATTATACATTGCTCATTTTCCGTCGTTGTCAGTTAGTTCGCCGGGATCTGACTGCATTGGTTCAGTCTTGTCTCATGTTTGTTTTAGTTTGAAACATTTGGAAGAATCTCTTTGGGGAGTTGACCGCATATCTTGCTACCCTTTAGTTCACTATTTCCTTTGATCTTCTTATCCTGTCTTAAGCCACTGGTCAATACAGCCTATTAGCAAGCATAGACCACATGAATGTATATTAACATTTTCAAGCTTACATTTTTCTCATACAAGTAAAACAAAGTATGCATGATGTGCTGTTATTTGCTAAAAAATAATTTTGTCTTAAAAACTTGGAAAAAAATTTAACAAAATATTTTTACATTTTACCATGGAAGGTGAAAAAAATTAACTCCACTAGAATTTCCACATCTTCAGGAAACTAAAAAAAAATATTTTAAGTAGGAATAAGACTCTGGCTCACATAGGAAGAATGTCTCATCTTTAAACTGAAAGCTTCATGCTACTTTTAAAGTATTCCTTGAGTCGAAAGTTCAATATGTTTTCAAAATAAAAGATAACAGTGGTAAGGGAACAAAGGAGCAGTGCCTCTTGTAGGTCTGTTCGCCCAACAAAATAAAGTTTTCGCTTTTTCTCACTATGTTCGCTCTGCTGGCATCGATGTACACCTTTTCACAATCCGTTGGAACATTGTTGCATAACTATTTGACAAATTTCATAACCGAATGACAGACAGAACACATCGAATGACAATCTAAAATAACTGTTCGTTCATGATAACGGAAATGATTACAAAGTTATGAAGTTGACAGACGGAACAATAAACCGACAGTCTACATATAGTTTGAGAATGTAACAATTGGAGATGACACACCACCAACACTTATTTTAGATTGTCATTCGATATGTGTTCTGTCTGTCATTCGGTTATGAAATTTGTCAAATAGTTATGCAACAATGTCTCAACGGATATGTGAAAAAGGTGTATTAGTGACATACACTTTCCTCACCTACGAACAGCTGGTTGAACCTTTAGTTCCTGTTGGGATCCAGGAGTAGGTGCAGTGGTGATGGGGTCGGGCACCGTTCCTGTTCCAGTGGTGGATCCAGGCCGAAGAGGCCAGCCAGCACCCAGGTTCTCAGCCTCCTGAAAGGTCTGGGGGAGGCAGCCCTGGTCTCCGGTACTGGGAGGAGAGCAGCAACGACATCAGCGACAGACCCCGCCATTACAGTACTGAAGGTCGCACCCAGCCCGACTGCCAACACCATACATCAATTACTACTCAAGCATATAAAGTATGTTTATTGATGACTAAAAAGAAAACTACTTAGGGTTAGTACACTTATAGATATAAACCGTTTCTAGTACTTTAGATCGTTCTCGTGCCGATGTTGTAAGATAGCGACAATGTGACTAATCCCCATTACTTTTATCTTAAGGGCGGTAGCTCCTGATTAAACGGAGGAATTACGAGAGCTTTTAGGAGACATTCCCTCCCGCACGCAGGTATTGCACAACCGCATGCATTCTCAGTTTTCGGTTATAAAATTAAAATGATTAATAAACTAGGCATGGGCAACCAGCGGCCCAGTTCAGGTACATGCAGCCAGCTTTGGTGAGTAAAGCAATATTTAAAAAAAATCTTCACACATAATTCATTACTGTTTCATCATCTAAGAGTAAATAACTACGAAAATGAACAGTAAATAACTATAAATAGTCAACACTATAAACATTTAACTTGTGAGTTTACGGGCATGGGTCATTGGAATTAACTAAGGTTGGGTAAGTCCAAGTGGGGTGGCAGGCGATGGTCATTGTTTCATTGTAGTTCTCATGCGCCAAAGATTAACATTCACATTATTCTGTGGGTGTAAGAAAAAAGCTGTAACTGGAGGAAAAATCAACGTATTCACAGACTGCTTCGCATCTTCTGTTAAATGCCAAGAAACATTAGCATTTCACATACACAATTATTATTATGGATTTGTTTCATAAACCGGAAAGGACTGTGATTGTAAACTAAAAATATCGTAAGTGGACGTGACAATAAACTGTTTCACTGTCCCAATACAATATTAACATTACTTTTGGGTTAGATTAGATGTAAATGTTGGTGGGTTAATCCACAGAAAAATACCTAAATAGTAATGCAGCCCGTGAGGAAAAGGTTGCACATGCCTTATTTAGAATTATCGTTATTTATTTTTCTGATTTTTATAATATTTGTTTTTTATTTGAATACCAACATCAAACTAACTCTATTCTTTCTCGTAAATATAATCGAAAAAAGCCAGATGACGACCCAACCAATTTTGGTCTCAATATTTTTTCCTATGCCTGGAATTTAATATAACTTAATATCAACATTTATGCAGTATCATTTAACCTGAGGTAAAACCAGTCTGAACTACTGAGTTATCTAAATATAAACCTAAGTTTTAGAGACATTAAAACAAACAAATTTATTTCATACTTAACTAGATACTTGACCAACCGCAAAACACATACCACAAGTTGCTCTCAACAGTGGAATCTCATATAAACATAAGGCCTTCAACCTCATACTTCACTACCTCCTCCACCATTCCCCCAAACCCGTCTTCAACAACAACTTGAGACATATATAAGATAACGTCAACATCACATCATCAATATCATTAAAGAACCAGCTTTCACATACAGCTATCCATAATATCCAGCCGGAGGACACAATAAACCAAACTGTCTATGTCTGTTCTGCAAACTCCAAACAAAAGACAACACAAGAACCACTAGGACAGTAAGAAAACATCACAGCATATAATAACAACACCAAGAAAGACCACACCCATTGAGGTCAAATGAACATCTCTGATTATCGATCACAATAAAATTTCCCATATAAAAGAGACAATCTACGCCAGAAAGACTCCTGCATAACATCAACACCAGACAATAAATATTATCAAATCAGAGAAAGTACTTTACATTTCAACTGAAGACAGACATCTTGGATAATGAATACAAACATGCCCCACCCAAAACAAGATATCACCAAAACCAAGGACAGACACCACACCACATAGGGACACACACCATGCCCAACGTCCCGAAGACAATGGTTAAACCGATGCTGAAGTCCTGACAGAAGATCTCGAGGCCAAACAGAAGATCACATGCATACAGCCCCTTAGAGCGGCCGAAGCCCAAGCCAAAACAATGGCGCAGCCATCGTCTTCAAGTAAACACATGATGCAACGTTAACTTTACGTTCAAATCACACGACATATATGTTTACCCGCTTAGATAGCTACATCCACACATTTACTTAAAAAGAAAAAATACCTTAAAAGCAACCAAACCAGCCCCATGTTATTAAAGAGTTAAAATGATATTATGTCAAGCCACAAATCCGAAAAAGGTTCGTTTTCCACTACCCATATCTTGTACATTAACACAAGAAAAGATTTTTTATCCATTAAATGCATATCACCGTTAAGGCTTGAGAAACTCAAACCTCAACCACTCACCATTAGACGTCATCACAATGATATCTCAGAAGAACCAGCAGCGCATCTACCACAGAGAAGAAAAACCAGATCAACTGAAAAGTTACATTTCGAAGACGGCCAGAGAAATCACCACGAGGACAGAAATACGCTGGAAAGCACGGAGTAGGCGGAGGCGACGGCGAAGACAACGAGGAGGATAAATGAACCAGCACATGAAGCTCACACTCAGGCAGCATGATCCACCCCTAAAGTTGCTGCAGCCTGAGACTGACACAGAAGTGGCTGAGAGCCAAGGCCACGATGGACCCCAGGTGCCAGTACAAGGCACCTGAAGGAGGAGGAGACTGAGTCCAGAGAACCACCGATGCAAGAGGCATATCATAGACGACACACCAACCACACAAAACCATAAATAGAGCCCAAATTTTTTCAGAGGGCCACAGATCAAAAAATTCAATACCAGACAACAGATAACCAAAAATAAGAGGTTACACAAAAGACACAATAGCACATGCAACACACGAGAAACTGCAGAACCACATGAAGAATACACAACTCAAGAAAACGATCAAACACAAAAAAGGATTCAAAACAATAAAACAGAAAAAAGCGCACTAAAAACAACCACCTAATAACCAGAACAGAAATAATAGCAAACCAAACGACAATGCCTAACAACAAAAATGAGTATGCAGCACAAGAACAGAGAAACACAAGGACAACAATGCCCAAAGGAACAGGATTCAATCCATATAAAAAGCCATTCTACATTCAATACGTACAGTATCACAAAAAGACAAAACAGACCAGAATCTAAGCTGGGTAGGCTAAGACCCAAAGGGACCCTTCCACAGGCCCTCAATAAGGCGCCCCGTCTCCAGGTGAGTTCGTGACGTTTCCTCCTTGCCATTCTCCCGCGCCATCTGTTGAATACATTCACGTGAACTATACTTTGTCGTGTCTCCCATGCTATTAGCCGACCACATCAGCACCACGTTATTTACCCTATTTGGTTATCATTTTATAATGGTTTGAATATTCTATAAGTTATTAAATTTACCGAACACAAAGTATGATTAATCAATCAATCGGTTCATATCAATCATTTTTCTTAGGAAATGACCAGTTAAAGTGCGAGTTTATTATGAAAAAAAGAGAAGAGATTCTTTAATTTCTCAATGATTCTGGCAGCCATTTCTTCTGAGTTTATGTGAGATTCGAACACCTAGATTTCAATCTAATGGTCACTAGAACACCTGCACAGTACTACTATAGACTACAGCTCAATTGCGAAGCGTGCGTAAGGTGTGCTCCAACTACCACGATAACTTTTCATTAGTTTCTTTAGACCATTTTAACCTTTAATTTCTATTATTGTATTGTAATGGATACCCAACAATGTGTTATTTGGTAAATTTTATAACTTTCGTTTAAAAGAAACCTAAATTATTTTAAAAGTTACAGAAAATGTTTTGTATTTGGGTAATGAAAAAATATAATTTTAAGGTGGCAACATAAGAAGATGTAATAGATAAGAGCCACAGAGAGAACACACAGAGTTTTATCTCATAATTTTTAATGTTGTTGGGATTGTGTATTACTGTGTAACGCGCCTAAAGACCCTCGTTATTGAACCGCAGTAATATTATTACAAGAGCCACATAGTAATGCGATTAATGACACAAAGAGGCCTGACAGGTGGAGTCCTAAATGACCCTGAGGATACAGTCCAGGGCTGGTGGTACTCACCTGGAGGAGAATGTCCACACATTGTCCCAGCCGACCTTTAGATAACAGCCACCGTGGCGACTCCGGTAAGTACCTGAGGAAGATAAACAACCCCACCAATAATATCACACACACACACACAGACCTCCTACGGCTAGACATACACTAATCAAGATCATGTAAATTATAGCTGTTGCATCAAGTTATTACATATTTTCATTAATTTCACTCTTCCAGATAATCCCAAATAATTCACAATTTTCTAATAAACCTTTGTAGGCGCCATAATGGCGCCCGCGAGCTACAGGTCGGATACCACTGTCTTAAATGAATCGGGGGAAACTGTACATTAACCTATAAATTTCCAATTAGTTGAAGCAATAAAGGTAAATGTATTCCTATTTGGTAAAACGTCAGTTCTCTTTTAATCCAATGGCCTTGAAATGTACAGCAGACGATCCTCATATAGAATGTTATGTGGAGCTGCTGGAATTGGTAACTGGACACTCTGGAGTCTTTGGTAGCCTCAGTGAGTTTAAAACACAGTTCATTCATAGTTAGATGTCTGCCACTATACGGACCCATGAGTTTCTTAGCAAGAGCTCTTTATTTCTGGGGGTTTTCTGTGACACATTGAAATTTAATCACACACTCTTCTTTGCTAATAGTTTGGTAAAAATAATTTTTTTTCTAAAGGGTTGGATGCTTATGTGTAGTCACCCTTAAACTGTTAGCTATTTCTTCAGGGCGCATTCTTGTTCCATTGGGTAATTGTTATTTTAGAGCTTAGGAGGTGGAGTTCACTTTACGCTTAACACAGAGCAATGATGATGGTTCACTTCATAAAACTTATAACTTATGTATTGCTTTTCATCCACCCGAGGAACCACACTTGAGGACATGACAATGATAATTTATTCTAGTTGACCTAAAATGGGGAGATTTGAGTCTGGGTTACACTGCCTGTGTCAAATATCAGTTGATTTTATGCACTGTAGGCCATTTACAAGGTGAGGGAGAGGAAATGGACTTTTTTATTATTTCGTAAAACCCAAATCTATATAACTCCAACCTTTTCTTTCATAGGTCATGTGCAAGGAAGTGGGGTGTAGTGACGGCCTACCTCCAGAACGAAAAGCCGAGAAGTGAAGGGAGGCAGGTAATGAGAGCTAGATACTGCCAGTTAGGGATGAGCCAAGCCACCAATGCGGTGAAGCACATCCCAAACGTCCATGAGATAAATAACAGCATGATGACCAGTGCACGATGGTCTGGCGGGACCACCTCCAACACTGTTTGGGAGGGAGATGATTAGCACATATAGAGATTCGTTGTCCTCGCGTCTACAATGTGTCTGAATAGTGGAACTTAGGAGACTTTCAAGGAGGTTTGGGAATATGGCCCTAGGTGTATGACACACTCCTCAGACATAACAGGATGTTTCAACCAATCAAAAAAGAAAATTGTCTTTTTTCACGAAAAACATTTGAAGGGATTTTTCACAGCCTATTAATAACGTACAGTATAATACAACCAAAGGCAGCAGCTCATGAAGTAGGGCTGGAAGTAGTCACTTAACGCCTTACTACATGAGCCAACTTGTTAAGAAATGGGAACATTATAAATAAGAATAGCTAACAGCGTCCATTAGTAACCCAGAGTGTCTTGTTTCCTATTCATTACTTAAACGAAACTTCGGACTTAGCAGAGGGTTTATAATGGTTTATCGTTAGTAAATATTAGAAATATAGGAGAGGCAGCAACTGATGATGATGTGGGTCATGAGGCAGCAACTGATGATGATGTGGGTCATGAGGCAGCAACTGATGATGATGTGGGTCATGAGGCAGCAACTGATGATGATGTGGGTCATGAGGCAGCAACTGATGATGATGTGGGTCATGAGACAGCAACTGATGATGATGTGGGTCATGAGGCAGCAACTGACGATGATGTTGTAAGGAAAGAAGTAGTTACTCACCGATGGTGTAAGGCATTAGGTAGTTACTCTCGAAGCTGAGTCCTTGGAAGAAGCGGAGTGTGAGGTGAAGGCCAATGTTTGAAACCCAGCAATATGATAATGTGAAGACGATGTGGATGGCCAGAGTCAAGAAGAAGACGGAGTGTCGCCCCAAACTGCCAGGTACAAACATATTTCAGTGAGAGGAATAAGTGAAGCACCCACACTCATTAGGCTTCAGTGAACCAGTCATCCCACATCCACCCATTAGGCTTCAGTGAGTCAGATACCCACACCCACATATTAGGCTTCACTGGATTAGGAACGCACACTTAAAACACTGGGCTAACAAAACTACATACATGTAAACTTTAATGTAAATATCAGTATATGACTTCATTTTATGATAGCCTGTACTTTACACAGGTAAACCAAGAAAATAATCTTCACCTGTGTGGCCCGGGATTCGAACTTGGGTCACCAAGGTTGGCAGGCAAGCAGTAATCCACCGGAACACGATGGGCAAAAAGCTGATCACTTACAGCTCAAGGTCCCACGACAAGAACTGTAAACCTGATAAGTTAGGGCACTCCACCCACACACAGGTTCCAGAGATCTTTTTCATAAAATATCCAGCACAACACCGTGGATTACTGCCTGATCACTAATCATAGTGGCCCTAGTTCGAATCCCAGCACGCACTTGTGAAAATATTTTACTTTGTCTGACTTTACGCTTATAGAGAGTAGTACACTCTAGGACTAAAGTCGTGGACAACCGCACTTAACCTACTGTACACTAGTGACCTCTGGCAATGAGATAAGTTTTAAGTTAAAACTATGAAATTATATAAATTAAAATAAAATAAAATACTACTTTATAAATCACATGCGATTTACTAATTCAATTACTGTTAAAAAGAATTTCTCATTGCCAGAGGTCACTAGTGAAGCTTCTATGCAGATATTCATTACTTCAGTCCTAGACCTTTAGATTTCATACATAGGGGCAAAGTCTAAATATACCAAGTCGACCCACTTCGAGTCGAAAACTCGTTCTTCACCCAGCATGACGTCATCTGGCCGGCAGCCCGGGAGTGTGGTCGGGCCCTAGAGTGGGACCTCAGTTACCAGCTGGCCGTCGTAGTGAGAAGGTCTGTGGCAATGCCTGATAAATGCTCCGTATTTGGATGCATATCAAATTACAGTCTACATGATAAAAGTTTGAGAGTTCATCAATTTCCAAAGAATGAAAAACTGAGAAAAAGGTGGATTTTATTGTGCATGCAGCAAATATATTGGGTCAACAGGAGGAAGGGCACTGCTTGAGAAGCCTTGGCAGATTTAATTTAAATTCCCTAAAGTCTAACCTTCGGCCAAGAAACTGGATGTGGAGAGACAAGTACCTATTTGTTGCTTGAAACTGTTGTATTGCCTAGCCATCTGTAATATATCTATGGCCATATTAATAAATTTAAAACTTATACACATATATACTTGTATTCACTGATTTACTGCAATAGCTTGGGGACAGCGAATGATGATGATAATCATTAACAATTTTTATTATTTTCGTTAACTATTTTATTTAATTCCTGTATTCCTTCTGCCCCCCCCCCCCAGTAAATAGCTAGCCTTTTTCCTATGATTGCTAATCATTACTTAATTGCTTTCACACTGATACTGGCAGGAAAATCATAAGAGTATAATTAACAATAGAGAGAGGAAGAAGAGAACTGTTAATTATAATTATAATATTTTTTTAATAATAAGAACAGGAATATCATAAAAATAATGATTACATGAGAAGTTCAAGTGACTAACTGAAAGATAGTGTGCCAGGGGAAGAGAAAGTCAGGAAATATGGCAAGAATATATTCTAATACAGTGGGGTGGTCTCACCCGTGTTAATATACAGTCCTCCCTTACTACCGTTTTCTTCTACTATCGCCAACGGCATCACATAATAAGTTTCGCCCTTGCTCGTGGGTAGACTTGGTTTAATTAGACTTTGCATAGGTGTTGCACCTGAACTCATGACGGGTCTATTTCCCTCCCACCCATCAAATCGACTTGTTGTCATGAATCGTCATTTGATGGGTGGGAGGGAAATAGACCAGTCAGGTGATATTTGACTTTTAGGATATGAACGTACTGTAACTTCATCAGCTTTCAGACCTGTATAAATTATAAAATACAGGATGTACCGTCTAATAGTCTAGTACTGTTTATTGGATGGACCCGCCATTTGTGCTGTATTTCTTCCTCAGAATACACTGGTCAACAGCCAAAATGGTTCACATATGAGATCATGCTCACACAACTAATTTCATATTGCTGAATTCGAATCTGATATTTGTTTTGTTCTATCAGACCAGGTTTTATAAAAAAATCAATAGGTACAAATATTTAATATTCCATCACGTGTCGTGCAAAAGATGAGATTATCTCATGTGACTGTGCTTTCATGACTAATTTCATATTAATGAATATTAATTGGATGTTTCATTCTACCATCAGACCTACTTTCTTAAAGAATAAAAAAAATAGTAAATATAGTAACATTATCGCGTCATGCAAGATACAATTTTAAACCTATCACAGATAAGCTCATAAAAAATTGTACCAAAAAACATAAGTTCAAATCCTTTATAATGACAAAATATGAAGTTCTAAAAGTGCTTCTGAACTTTACTCTTTCTCTTGTACAGCTTGCTCTCTTCTCGTTGCAGTGTCCAGCAATAGTCGCCCATCATGTTAGGACTGAATTGTCCCTGATATCTGCTCTCCATTATGGCGATATCTTGATGAAATCTTTCGCCGTGTTCATCACTAACGTCTCCAAGGTTACCTGGGAAAAATTCAATATGAGAGTGGAAAAAATGCAATTTCAAGGACATCCTTGCTCCCAATGCATGATAATTCTGAAGCATGGTTGTTACGATTTCTTTGTAGTTGTCAGCACGATAGTTTCCAAGAAAATTCTTTGACACATTGACAAATGATTCCCATGCTATTTTCTCCAGTGGGTTCAATGTTTTGGTGAATTCGCTATCATTAACTAGTATACGAATTTGTGGTCCATTCAAGACACCTGCTTTCAACTTGGCTTCGGAAACCACACCACCTAGTTTTTGAGATAAGTATAGAGTCCCAGCACCGAATTGATCCATAGCTTTGATGAAATTTTTAGCCAAACCGAGCTTTAGATGCAGTGGAGGCAAAAATATCTTTTCTGGATCTACAAGCGGATTGTGAGCACAGTTAAACCTTCCAGGCGCATCTCTTGGTCTTGTCGGCCAATCCTTTCTCACATAGTGCTCTGCATCAGCTCTGCTGTTCCACAAGCACAAAAAGCACATGTGCTTTGTGTAGCCACTCTGAAGGCCCAGTAGTAAACTGATGACTTTGAGATCGCCACATATCTTCCACTGGTGTTTCTCATACTCTATAGCGGCCAACAGAATTTTCATTGTTTCATAGCTCTCAGTCATTTTTGTTGCGTGTGCTATTGGGACAGATGGAAGCCGATTGCCATTGTGTAAAAGAACAGCTTTCAGAGAGTCTTTTTCTGAGTCTATAAACAGCCTCCAATCCTCTGTCTTGTATGTTTCAGACTTGCAGAGTTGTTGCATGAGAGATACTGCGTCCTCCCAATAACAAAGGTTGTTTGCCATCTTGAAAAATGCAGACAGCTGTCTATGTCGGTAACACGCTGTAGTGATATGCACTCCATCTTCTAGCACAGGGGTTCTCAACCAGGGGGGGAATTCAGGTTTTCAGGGGGGGGGGGGAACTGATTAGGGAGCAAGAGATATGTTCGATGAGAAATCAATCACAGAATTTTGGCCCTTGATGTGCGATTCCTACCCAAAAGTGGCAGAAAGAGCTATCCGTGCATTGCTTCCGTTTGTGTCGACATATCTTTGTGAGTCAGACTTTTAAACTCTGTTGCAAATTAAAACGAAGCAACGTAGTAGATTAGAGGTAGAAAATGACCTGCGTTGTGCCCTTTCAAGCACTCCTCCGCGTATCCCAGAATTGGCGAAGAAAAAACAATCACAGGTTTCTCATTGACTGTAATCTTCATCTGAATAAAATTAATTATAAATTTACAATATCCTGGTATTCTATTGAACTTTTTGTTTATTGCATTATGCTTCAGTTTGGTCTGTTAAGTAATTCATTATAAATATAAAAAAAACTATTTTACTTTTATTCAAGTTTTATAAATCCATCAACATTTTCAATTGGCATTTAATTTGTAAAACTCCACTATAAAAATAATCCATGTAAAATTGTAAATGTATATGTACTAATATGGAAAAAATAAAGGATTTTCAGTATTATATGCATATTATTTGGAATGCACTTTTTGAGGCAGACAATCTTGGAAAGGAGGGGGGGAATGACATTCTGACATATGGTGAAAGGGGTGCATGGGGCAAACAAGGTTGAGAACCACTGTTCTAGCAGGTTACGCTGCTTTAGTCTGGATCCCAAAACTTCAGCCTTTTCTTTTGACAAGTTTAGGTCCCTGATGAGATCATGAAGCGCTTCTTGAGTAAATAGTTTAGGCCTGGTATTTTCAGAGTCATCCTGGTAGTCGTTTTCCATTGAGGTAGAAGTAGAATCGGAATCACTCAATTCTTGTTCAGTCGGTGGATTTGGGACTGGAAGTTCAGCACTGTGCGGTACTGGTCGGATTGCAGAAGCAATATTGGGGTACTGTACCTTGCCTCGTGTCTTGATTTTTATTCCCTTAATATTTGTGAGACAGAAGTAGCAGTCACTACTGTGGTCTTTAGGTTCACGCCATATCATTGGTACAGCAAACGGCATTCCTGAACTTCGTTTACCACACATCCACTCGCTCAGGTGGTTAACACAAGACTTACAGGCTACATGAGGTGCCCATTTCTTGTCTTGGTCACCCAAATGACATTTGAAGTAACTTTTGTAGTTCAGTCGAACAGCTTTTGTGATTGGTTTCTTGAGGCTACCAGGAGTGAAGGCACCACATATGTAGCAAAAACTGTCAGCACCGTTCACACACTTGCGACGTTCCATGTTTTGTTAATTTCAGAGTAATTACAAATCATGCAGGTGTAGATATGCAATATCATGAATCAGCAAACTGAAACAAACAAAAAAGCACAAATCAGGACAAAATAATTGCATAAGTGGAGCCAATGAGCATATAAATTACTGTATGAATAGCATGGTACACTAAATATATAGATATGCTGGTTCTGGAAAACTGAGCCTGATACAGCTATACGAATGTCATAATTGAGTTCAGCACATACGATTACACTGGAATCAGACTGTTTTGATCCAGAACCATGAGAATTTTTTGTATGTTGACCAGTGATATTGTTCATCAAACACATAAATAATTCTCTTGTTTGCGTCCTCCATCATGACCAGATGCAAGCAGACGGAGCGTGAAAAACAAAAACCACACCCTAGCGAGCACGCGGCTTCTAGAAAAACTCACGGGCGTGAAATTATCTGCATGGGACAAAAACGCTTGTGCAAAGCGGGTCTTAATCATTTGGCTGCGGGAGGTTACCCTAAGCGGAATAAAATCGTCTGGTGGTATCCCGAATAAAATGGCAAGTGCGGGAATTGCAACAGAAGGGTTAAGGGACACATGGTATATAATTCGTTTGACGATTCTATTAACTCCAACATACAAACATGGGTCTCTTGTATCCACAAGTTATAGTAACATGATCCTGTCAACACATGCACTGCAGTTATTATTCTTAATCATTAGTATTATCGAGCAATACTACCTTGATCAAACAAAAAATATAAACAAATTTCATAATATTCATTTTTATTCAGTCAATTTGACCAAGAACAGCTGACAACGCCGTGAGAGGCTTGTCTCCAATAGAGTGACTTGAGTCCTTATTCAAGCAACATCTGGTGTTCTAAGGTCATCCATCCAAGTACTAAGTAAACTCAACATTGCTTAACTTCGCAGATCGGAAAAGAAATAGTGTTTCCAACGTGGTTCTACTGTACATGTAAATTAAATTACACTAATTCACTCATCTAAAAGAAAGGATGATAGCTACTCACTATCTGTCAGCAAGGATCGGGAGGAGGAATGTGCCCACAGTGTTGCCAGCCATCGTGAAGGAGAGGACGTGTTGGGAGTATATCTCCCGCTCACACACCCACTCCAATTCAGTAGACAAAGTTTTGGTGAACTGTGATGGGTCGTGCTGCCACCCACTGATACACTCTGCAGTAATACTGTACATTATCTATTACACTCAGCATACACAATAATCACTTAGCACATAGTCAATAAATACATCTAAGTGGCCATAACACGTATTGTACTGTGCTTCATTTACAGACGTAAAAATACAATAACTTATTTTCTTATTCTATGTCTTTATTTTCAAAAGCTGCTGACTAGCCACAAACTCACCTGTCAGCAGTGATAAGTTACACAGACTCCCTGTATATAAAGGACAAACTGTGACAAATTTACATTGCCGCCTAAGCTAACACGCGACTAGTAACTTAATGAGGTACACCTTTTCTAAGAAAGTTTTGGTGTTTCATGAGTACTCCCAACTTTAACATGGTGGAGAAATTTTGACTCTTGCCTCAAGCTGCCCTACGTCAATGCTGGGTTATCTACAATATTGTATATGGACGAAACCTTTAACATTTCATTGAGTTAGAGCAAGACATATTGTATTGTGTTGGAGTCCATGTAGTAGTCTGACATAGTGTAAATACAAGTTATAAATGAAGAACATTACAGGATGTTATTTATACATCACCATTATCTAAATTTTAATGGTGCACTACAGTTTAAGAGCATTTAAGGTGTACTAGCCACTCACCTTGTGTCTCGTTGGTGACGGTGTAGTTCGCCCCGTCGTCCTCACTCCACTCCCCTTTGTACATCAAACAGCTTGAATACTTCTCGGACTCGATGGCTCTGTAAAACAAGCCGGATCTGTTGAAATTACAGAAGTCCGCTGAAATTTAACTATAACGAGAAAACTGGCGGCAAGTACACAGTACTCTATTTCGGAAATAGAGAAGCTCATGAGTGGTACAAGTTACCAAACATCACCACTAACTCGAACATGCAGGGTAGCTTCAAATATAGGTTGGGCGGATATATGAGCGATAGAGTTTGGGTGTAAACGGGACTGCCCAGTATGGGCCAATAGGCTCGCTGCAGTTTCCTCCATTCTTAAGCCCTTCTTTAAGTGACGAAATGACCAAGGCTCGTGGAAACAGTTTTCTATCGGTATATGCTATCGAGAACCGTCTTCATATCTGAGGGTCGACGACCACTCTAAACGTTCTCGGGCTATTTTTGCCAGTCAAAAAATTCAAGGTTTTGCATCTCTATGGGGACCCAGTTTTTAATTTAATTCATCCATCCCAGTCTCTGCTTTCCTTGACCCTCTCCTACCCTTAACTTTCCCCATTAATATTTCTGTTCTTCCCTCGTCCTTAATATATGATCGAAGTATCTCGTTTTTCTTTTTCTGTACAGTTCGGGTATTTCTCCTGAAGTTTTTGCTAATATTAGTACTTTTTCATTTGTTTTCCTGTCAATATAGTTTAATCTTGCATTCGTCTATAACACCACATTTCAAAGGCCTCCAACCTCTTTCTGGTGTCTGCTGAACGTCCTTGGCATATAAAGCCTGTTAGCAGCCTTTTTTTCTTAAATTAAGGTTAATGTTACTTTTCATAAGGTCTTTTAGATTATTAAATGCTGTTTTTACTTGTCATATTCTTATTTTGATTTATTCCGTACATCTACCATCACAGCTAATGTTACTTCCCAAATTAATACAAATTTTTACTTGTTTAAGTTCCCTGTTGCCTTTCATAATTTTTGTCTTAGGATTTATTTATAATTTGGAAACAACCATTACTTTTGTCTTTACAGCATTAACTCTTAGCCAGTTTTTGTAATGCCTCTTCACTATCTGTGATAAGAGCAGTATTAATGGCAGAGCGTTATTTGATATTAATTTACCATTAACGTTTAGTCCTTCATGATCATTTATAACTTTTCTCATTAAAATTTCTGAATATATATTATACAGTGTTGGAGATAGAACACAACCTTGTCTTACTCCCCGTCTAATTGTGAAACAATTACTATGTTCATTACTCACTAACACTGCAGCCTCCTGTTGTCAGTAAAGAGCCTTTGAAATACTAGAATCAGGTTCATTAAAGTCTATTGATAAAATTACGGTGTTGTGGTTCTATTTGTTTTAGTGTCGGTCATACATAATTACGGGAATGAGGTTTTGTGTCTTCTTATAGCGTACACATAACTGCTGCTTAATCTATCCATCGACTATACACACTCAGGTATAGAAAAATTATCATATAATAATGTACACTTGTACTGGTTTGCCGTGTCTTATATCGTGAGTAATTACAATAATAATAAAAATAATAATAATAATAATAATAATAATAATAATAATAATAATAATAATAATAATAATAATAATAATAATAATAATAATAAATATTACATAGTTGCATAAATTTATTTATGTTCACTGTTAAATGCTTAAACAAAATTAAATTATCCGCTGTTTATTTCAAACTGCTCATTGATATAATCAGAGTTCAAGATAAATACGCATTATTTCTTGCATGTGCCTCGTCTCATATTTAGTTGAAAAAAATATTGCATGAGAACATCATAGATAAAATGACAATGTAAAAGATATTACATGATAAGGCTTCAGTATTAAATGACATTGATGTTAGATCATCTATGTTGAGAATCACAAAGCTCTGATGTTTTATAATATTGTAAAAAAATATAAATGCTGTTTTATGTGATATAATAATGCATTTAAGAAATATAGCGCGCATATTATGTGAGTTTCACGCTTATTGCCCGAAATTTGACAGCTCTGATCTTGTTTACCTAAATGATACAGTGTCGCACGGAAAACAGTTTAGGTACCCGAGCCATAAACAAGTTCTCTCCCTCCGCCTACGACCTCACCAGCTCTGCATCTTAACCTTTCTTCCCTATGTAGTACTTGATTGAAACCTTAGGTATTACCATGTGTGTGTACCAGATGAGACTTACCTGGGCAATGTGAGGGCCCTCCACTCCTCGGGGGAGAGTGTAGTGTTCTCTCGTCCTGGGACGTAACACCAGTGATCCGGCACCACCACTTGGAACAACATTAGGTTCATCTGTGCTCGAGAGGGAACATAAATATTACTGAAGGACGACTATAGCTTAACCCCCCCACCTTCGAATTGTTTACTTTATTTTCGAAATTATTTTTAAAGTGATTTTGTTTACATTTAATAGTGGAATATATGGGAATTCCTTCTAGACAACATTTGAAAAGTTTTCTATTTATTGCGTATCTCAGGAATATCTATGTATAATAATAATAATAATAATAATAATAATAATAATAATAATAATAATAATAATAATAATTGTAATAATAATTGTAATAATAATTATAATTATAATTGTAATTATAATTGTAATTATAATAATTATAATTATAATAATGATAATAATTATAATAATAATAATAATAATAATAATAATAATAATAATAATAATAATAATAATAATAATAATAATAATTATAATTATAATTGATTATAATAATAATTATAATTATAAAAATAGTTAAAACACAATACTACTACTAATACTACTACTACAACGTGGCCTCCAGCCTCCCCCAATAGCCACACCTTCGCCACCATTTATTTACCTTAATATTAAATATCCTAATACATAAGAAGCTATCCTATCTGTGTTGAATTAGTTGAGCCGCAGATCTATGCGGCATTCAGTGACTGTAGCCTCATAGTCAATATCTGCAGCAGTTGTCGGAGTAGGGGCGGAAGCTCTCGTTCCCCTGAGGCAGAGCAAAGCCGACCGAAGGAGAGAGAAGGACAGTCGACATCTCATCCAGGCTGTAACATAACTTCTGGGCTGCTGCTTCTGTTCGGAGATCAGCTCCGCGAGTCTGGCGTAGAAACATCTTGCACTTGGGCCCATCCCACCCGAGGTTGTGAACACTAGAGGAGTGAAGCTGCCTTGATCAACATTTTGTATTCTCTCCCCATATGCCCTTCTCTTGTCGTTCTCGTTCCTCCTATGCGCAGCATCGAGAGCTAGGTTACGGTGACAAACGGCCATGGGATCAAAAATCCTGATGTCGAAGAAAGCTCGCTGTCCCCGCGTCCAGAATCCTCGAGCACTGACGTCCACACGGGCTTCGTTAGAAGTGTTTGAAGTCCTATGTTGGAAGATCTCGCCATCCAGTGGAAGGAGGGTCGGTTCTACCATGACGTCCCGGCAGATTTCCTTCAACATATTTGCTGTGAGATCCCTTACCTCGTCATGCCTCATGCATATGAAGCCCCCCTTCTTGCAGACCATGGCGTGATCGCCATCATAGGGAGAGCCACACACGCATTGGGAGGGCAAACCATCTACTGGCCAACCGTACCTTAGAGCAATGGCATCTGTAAATTCTTGTTTGTTAAGGCTGAAACCATTTGCCCTTATCGGTAACGTAGTTAACCAGTTCGAGGCGCCCACCTCCTGCGCTATAGCTACTTTTTTTGTCAAATTTTCTGGAACATGCAGCAATAGTTGCTGCAACATGTCATTTTGGCAGTGCTGCCGATCTGTTGTAATGGACCTACGGATCTTATTAACTTCGCTGGTGTCCACTTCCCCTGTTGCATTCTGGGCTATTATGTGGTCAGTGAGGGCTGCCGTGAGCTTAAGTGAATTTTGATGTTCAGAGTCAGCAATCTCCTCTGGATTAGTTAGTCCCATCCCTCCCAGTCTTGGTGGAAGTGCAAGAAGTGTTCTTTCTGCTAGGGTTAAGTCAGGGTGTTTCACTAGTTTGGGAATGAACTTGACACTGATTGCTTCTTCCAAAGGGTGGAGGAGGGGTCCGATCTCAGGGATGGTACGCATCAGGTAGTTCCAACGATGCTTGACTCCATGGGTGAATGCTGCAAAGGCCGCATGTGGCTCTGTGTTAGCAATCTCCGATAGAGCTTGGATTTCGCTCACCCACTCATTCACCTTTCCCGCTACGTACTGGGTCTTGAAGTCCGTAGTGCCAATTACTGCGCCTAGATGTCTTTGGCCGTCCTTAGTTATTTTGACCTCACTTTCGCCGAAAACCTCCAAAGCCCGATCATAATGATCTGGCTTCACGATGAGGAAGGATTTGCTGGCGTTTGGGTGGTACCCTATTTGTGGACCTCGCGATGTTACCAGGTCCCACCACTTTTTGATGTCCTCCACTTTTCCTGCTCCTGTGAGGTCATCAGCATATGCCACTTGTTTGACCCCAGTTGTTTCAAACTTTATTTCTTGTTGGAGCACTGATAGGCCTATTGCATACATTGCCATTGCAACGGGGTCCCCCTGTGTTGTTCCCTCAGTCGACTGTAGGATGGTATCACCTCGTAGAGCCTTGTTGTTTACTATGTAGAGGTCTGATGGATTCCTATACGAATTTTCAACATACATCGCAAAGCTAGGACACTTGATCTTGATGTTGTGCAGTGCAGCCTTGCGGTTAAGTATGTTGAATGCGTTTGAAGCATCCACCAGGAGAACGGCCTCACAATCACGCTGCTCAAATATCAATCTCATGGCGTGAATGGCCGCCTCCCCACCGGCCTGGTGGCCAGCACACACTTGTAGGTTCCCTGCTGCTGCCCTGACATCGTCCTTTACCACCTCCATTAAGCACTTTCCGATAATCCGCCTCAGCACTTCCCCCACCCCTATAGGTCTACATCCTTGTTTCTTTTCCAGAGGAATAAGGCGGCAGGCCGTCAGGGCCTGGAGGTGATGGCAGCAAGAGGATGCAAGCTTTCTTGCAAGGGCGGCAATGGCAGTGCAGAGATCGCTTGCTACAGGGCCAAACTTGTTTGTGCTGAGGATGACTCTCCAACCGTTTGCATCCAGACCTGAAGGGCCGGCTCCTCCACGAGTCTTCAGTGCCTTTTTCCACACCATCTCTCCTGTTATTTTCTCGAACAGGACAGCATTTGGTGGGATATAGTCACCATGGAGCCTGATGCCTTCAACTTCACTTGCAGGGGGATGTTTCTCTTTCAATAGTTTTAATGTCACTCTGTTTATTGGCATCACCCCACCGGAAGATTCCTGAGTGAGAGATCTTACCGCCAGAGACACTTTTCCCACACGCATTTTGTTTCCAAATTTTCTTGCCACGTCATCGGTGTTTTGCTTTCCGTCACCCGTAGATTTTAGTCTCTCCTGCAGTGTTCTTGCTTCACATAGGAGATCATCTAGGGCCCCAGTCCGCCACATTGTCAATCTTCTCTTCATTGCTGCTACTACTACTACTACTACTACTACTACTACTACTACTACTAATAATAATAATAATAATAATAATAATAATAATAATAAATAATAATAATAATAATAATAATAATAACAATAATAATAATAACCGTATATTACAAAAGGTAAATTGACACATTTCTCAAATCTATGGAGATAATTTTGGCTATGAACCTTGTATAGTAACATGATAACAGAACTGGTTCATGCCTGTTCACGGGGAGTTTCTAATATAACCATTCTTGATATAAGGTTATTTAATCTGATGAGGTAAGATATCATTATCAAAATGGGCTGATACATATCAGTACCGTTTATGATGTTTCTGCTAGTGAAATGTCTCGTACATGGTGGTGGAGGTGGTGGTGTCACTCACACCAACGGTTGGTGGTGTACTTACAGTAATGTTAACTCCCACATCCTCTGCCGGCTACAGCCTTCAACATACACCCTCCTGGTTCACCACCACACAGCTGTCTACCACAACGTCGTGTATAGTTGTCAACAACACCCAACTTTTCACTCAATTTCTTCGGAATGTCCAACCATCTTTTTCTTTCATTCTTCAACCTACGATTTTTATCCCCCATGTTTTCTAACTGACACGTTCAGGCTCAGAAAAATATAGGCACATCCTTACTGTCTTCTGTCATCCTATTACACTAAGGCCTTGCATTCCTCTTGTGCTGGAACATTTGTTCTATATAATACCTTCCATACATTAATTTAGAAAATAAATCACCAATGATTTTTTTCTTTCTTTTCTTATTCAATTTCCATGCCCTACGTTCTGGACACAAATATGCATACCACCAGGGACTGCTTACATTTTTAGCCACATATACTCATTCACCAGTCCATTGATTCATACCACACTTCAGGAATCTGTACACAAAAATCTGATGTTTTCCTTTACTTCTCATCAGAATATATCTTTCCTTAACCTTTTATTTTCGAATATTCATCTTATTTACCAAGACGTGACCCATGTATAATTTTTAATAGAACTTAACATTAATGTCCCCACTAACGTATGGATGAAATCTTGTAGCTCACATAACTAAATTTCATTATTTTGTCATACGGTTTGTGTATCATTATAATTCATTGTCTCCCAACAAACACTTCTCATTTTTTCTAAATAATTGTTTCACATCCTTCATATTACGCGAACACATCTGTAGCAAATCTTATATATATATACATTACTTTATTAATTATCATCATCATCCCGTACCCCCACCTTGTCATAGAGTGCACTTTGTAGGTGGCTGTGTATATTTTTCCATCTACGCGAGTCCGTGTACATTTGTTTAAGAATCAGTTCAGTGGTGAAGGTGCACCTAAACCCACACCACCATTTTAGGCGCCTTACGACACCAAGATACATTTTTATGGTTTGTTTCTTAAACATTACCCAAGTACTAACTACTCACTGTAAATGCACTAAAGAAGGTTGCTGGTATAAGGAGAACATATACTAGCCACTTCTGGTAGTAACCGTAGGACCCTACAGTCTCCAGAATTTCATCAAAATCTTTCGCCATGGTAATTCCAAGTTCTCCCCCTCCTCTCCCTCGCCTTTTCTTCTGTGGTAGTGGTGGGTCTTCGCAGCTTGGGACTGTCTGAAGCCTCCTCCTCTTAGAGCCTCAAGGTTCTTCCCTGTATCCTGCCTCACTGTTACCTACGTCGAAAAAACACATCGTTATCAGCATGTTAACACACATCATTTATCAATATTATCTTATTGTACTCACGATCAAAAATATATCTGTGTACACTCGGAAACCATATTCTCAAGCTCACCTGGGTCGGTGCTGGAGGTTAGTACAGTGTCCTTTCTGGACGGGGGCCCCCACTAACTATCACGAGGCAACACACGCACGAACACACACAGTCATAGTACAGCTGTATGGATGACATTATGTATAAATATTGATTATGGCATTTTATACTCTGCATTATCTTCATTATATATGAACACGAAGAAAAATTACCATAGGTTGTAGTTACGAAAGTATGAATGGAAATAAACACTTCCAAACCACCCAGTGAGTCCACACAACGTTTAATAATAATAATAATAATAATAATACTCAATGGTTTATTGAGCTTACAGCCAGAAGGCTGAAAATATACAGTTGCTATGCTTTCCAGAATGGCCATGAATTACAAATAATATACAAGTGACATAAGTGACACAAATAAGACATATAGTAACTTAGATGGGGATCAGCTCAAAATACAGTTCATTTCAACATAGTGACAGTGTAGGGAGCAGTGTTTACTGGGAGTGAATACACTGATTTATTACATGTTATTGATAATTTTACAATGGTTGGGACTGGGCTGTTCTTATAGCGATCAGTTCGTGCACGTATGGGCTGGATGCGGTTGTGGTGTCGAACAGCAATTCTCGGACAGGGGATCTCAGGTGGTAGTAGGGGCCGGTGTCGAGGATGGTGTAGAAGCTTCTTACCAAATTTGCAGATATGAGGCTGTGGCGGATGGTCAGTGAGAGTCGAAAGGGTCAGTACGATACTTTTGATATGTGGAGTAGGAAGGGGAGAGAATAATCTTGCATGCCCTTTTTTGCACTTTTTCTAGGTGTTTACGTTGTGTGGCATTTAGGGAGGAAGACCAGGTGGGGGAGGCATAGGTGAGCTTGGGAAGTATGAATGTTGTGTATACACTGAGGAGCTCGTGTGCAGGAACTCCGAGGGACTTGAGTCGGCGGAGCAGGTGGAGACGGAAACTGGAGGCTTTGACAACTTCACTGACGTGTGGTTTCCAATTTAGTTTGTTGTCTATGGTGACGCCGAGGAGCTTTGTGGAATCTTACATAAACCCAGTGTGTGTGCCAGACCACGATGCTTCCACCACTCCCCATCATTCCCATCATTCGCGTAACTATATGAAAAATCGTGTTTAATTTAACTACATATTTCAAAAACCTTAAATTACATGTGGATCCGTCACTCCTCATTTGACACACTTATAGTGTCATACTTTGACCATCCCACCTGGGCACATGGAGGCCCACAGTAACTCTCACGGGGTAACATACGCACGAACACACAAGTTATGATATGAACCTGTAGTGGACGTCTCCCCTACAACTACGCATCACATTCCAACGTGCCGTTGCCTAGCAACCAAGCGAGAGCTGTCCCCAGATGGTACGGTTGCTTAGCAACTCTACAGACAACAAGTCTCCTACACCGCCTGGAGGGAAGGGGGAGTATTGTAGTGGACGTCTCCCCTACAACTTCCTACAACTGCGTAGCCACAGCCACCACCTGCTACCGCCTCCCTAGCAACCAACCAGATGTTACCTTATCTTAGCAACGAAACTAGTCACCGGCGACTTTCTGGGTTTTCCCAACATGATTCATAGAGGACTGGCGGCTGCTGCTGGGTATATAAGCTCTGTCTCTCCATTGAGATTCATTCTGACTATTCTTCTTGAACAAGCAACACCTCCTCCTCCGCCGCTGCCTGGCTGCCTTCGCTTCTCCTCGCCTGCCTGGCGGTCCTCGCTCCCGCCAGCGAGCATGGCGACCCACCAGCTGTCCTTCTCTGAGCTTCCTCACCAACCAATTCTCATTCTGTCCATCTTCCTGAACAAGCAACACCTCCAGCACCAGACTGTCTATCATATAAATTATATTATATAAGAAAACCACATTAGAGTTTCCTTCCATTCTGAGTGCTAGACAACATTAATATCTCGATACCCCTACAAACCCTTCCAGGCTTCACTATCATTATCATGTTATGTTCATCGTGCTCTGTATCTTGGTAACTAGTCATAGTATCAATGCATGACAGTGTTATTAGTATAATATTGTAACTTTTTACCTACAGTTATTGTTGTAAATCATGGACAGGAAGGATACATAAATTGTAATATCAAGTGTATGGTTCGCTCAAAGCCACCCCAAGTCAGACAACGCGTCATACAAAGTTACACTGTGTGTGTGTTCTGTAACATTAATCTTCATCTTTAGTCGGTAAGATGTTTCATAAAGAGGTTTCTCCAATTCGTCATTGTGAGCATCGTCTCAGAGCACATTGTTTCCATCAAAACCATGGTTCATCCTTATTTCCCTTCTTCCGTGTAACTATATCCATATGGCTAAGTGCTTGCTTTTCATTTCCTTATTTACCAAAATAATGTGGATCAGTTACTCGTTATTTAACACATACATGCACTTAGAGCATCAAGATTGTTTTGTAGGCATGACTATTGGTTAATTGAAACCCCAAAAATATTGTTCACATTTATTATCCATAAACATTGTAAACATATCTATGTGATTATTGCAGTATATAACATATATTTAATGTCTGGACAGATTCCTCAGAGTTATGCATATTATTGCATAGATTTTGTTAGCATATTTATGTGAAGTGACGTAAAACCACATTTTTGGGGTTTCAATTAACCAATAGTCATGCCTACAAAACAATCTTGATGCTCTAAGTGCATGTATGTATATTATTTACTAATGATATTTTACATGTTGCATTAAATGGTACAGTGTTATATTACGTGTGTTTTTATGTCTATTTTTTTGTGATATTGGTATCTCTTATAGACGTTCGCTATTTTTTTTGCTTACAGATTAATTATTCATGGGGATTCTCATGAGATAAATATGTCGTCCCTGAAAAAATATCTGAGTGGCTCACAAAAGAGAAAGTTAAAAGCAGCCAAAGGTGCACAACTGCAATCAGTTCCAAAGCTGACAACATTTTTTAAACCAAAAGGAGATTCAGAGCTAAGTACCAGTGACAGTAAACTCCCAGGGGATGACACAGTAGATGTTCACTTTCATGATTCAGATGACGAAGCGAGGTCAGCTGAGTCACAGTCACAGAGATTAAATAAATCAGCACCTACAGCAATGGAAGTACCACCTGTGACTGAAACTTCATCAGATTCATCTCAGTTGACTTATAAGAAACATTCTGTGGAACAAGGTGTCAGTGTTGATTTGTGTGTATCAAGTGATCCAGCTGACTGGCTGACAATTGATGATGAACTGATTGAGTATTTACTAAACCATCCTCTTGATCTAAATTGTGAATAATGTGACTTCTCCAGATCTGCAAGAAGTGAAAATGTGGGTGAAAAGGAAAGAGTTCGGTATGTGCCCAAATCCTTGTTTACATGTCAAATGGCAAATGATGAAAAAGTTAAAAGGGAATGGCTTGTGTATTCTCCAAAAACTGGAGATGTATTTTGTGTTCCATGCAAGCTATTCAGCAAGCAAGTCTCATTGTATACTGGTGGGTTTAGCGACTGGAAAAACTGCCAACATAGAGTTGCTGAACATGAAAGTAGCAAAGAGTATAAAATCTCAGTTACTACTTGGGGTGTGAGGGCAATTACAGCAGAGCGAATTGATTCCACTTTGGCTTTGCAAGTAGAATTGGAGAGAAAATACTGGAAAGAAGTTCTATTGCGCATAGTTGAAACACTAAAGTTTTTAACATCAAGAGGTCTTCCTCTCAGAGGTAGTGATGAAAGAATAGGCTCTAGCAACAATTGGAATTACCTTGGAGTACTGGAACTCCTGGCAAAATTTGACCCTTTTCTTGCACAGCATCTGGAGAAGTATGGTGCTGTAGGTAGTGGAAAGACTTCATATCTCTCAAAAACGATTTGTGAGGAAATGGTCAATCTGATGGCTGAAGAAATTCACTCAATTATCATAAGTGAAGTGAAACAAGCCAAATATTATTCAGTTAGTGTAGATTCAACACCGGATGTTAATCATACTGACCAACTTACATTCATAGTTCATTATGTCAAACCTGATGGCAAACCTGTTGAGCGATTTCTAAAGTTCATAGACATAGATGACCATAGTGCAGAGAGCATTGCTTCAACTGTTGTACAGTTAATTATAGATGTTGGTCTTGATTTGAGAGACATGAGAGGGCAGAGTTATGACAATGCTGCCAATATGTCAGGCATTTACACTGGTCTCCAAGCCAGAATAAAGGCTATGAATCCCCTGGCATATTATGTCCCTTGTGCAGGTCACTCCTTGAACCTTGTAGGAACATCAGCTGCCAGCAGTTGCCTTGGGTCTGTTTCATATTCCAGATTTTTGCAAGCCTTATACAACTTCTTCTCAGCCTCCACATATAGATGGGATCACTTAAGAGCTGCACTACCTGCTGAAGGGATTGTAGTGAAATCCCTTTCAGAAACTCGCTGGAGTGCGAGGGTTGACGCTGTTAAAGCAGTGTTTTTACATTACCTTGAGATAAAGTCAGCACTGGAGAACATATGTTCTGACAGTAGACAAACTGTGGCTACAAAGCTTGAAGGTGAAGGCCTCATACGACAAATGGAAGCATTTGAAACAGCACTTCTTACTGTAATATGGTATAAAATCTTAACAAGGTTTAATACAACCAGCTTATCACTTCAAAAAGTTGAGACTGACCTTCTGTCAGTTGTGAAACTGTATGAGAGTTTGATCTCCTTCGTCTCAGAAATGAGACAGGGTCAGTTTGTTGAAATAGAAGATCAGGCAAGGGCTTTGGTGAGCCTGTCTACACAGAGACAACAAAAAGAACAAAAAAGAGAAAACGTTTCTTTGATGAATCAGTTGGCACTGAAACTCAACTTGATCCACGTGAGAATTTCAAGGTGGACAATTTCTACACCACATTAAATTGCCTTAGGAATGAATTAGAGCACAGAGTGAATGCCTACTCAGAAATAAAGAAGCTGTTTAGCTTCTTAACGGAGTATGACGGTATGACCTGGAAGCATCTGTTCTAGATGAGTTTTTGCAATTTTTTAGACATTTTGTCTTCTGAATCTCACAGGTCAGTG